TTCATATTCGTAGATTTTCACGGGTACAGGTCTAGGTATGTTCATGTCTTTTCCCGTGTAAGATTAAGAGACATTTCGGCGAGGTCCCACTCGCCATCCTCAGGCTGGTGCTTTCGGCTTCTTGCCAGTGCAAGCAGTGTGTGATCAGAGCTGCCGTCTCTCTATAAATACTGGTGGTAGGGGCTGGTGTGCTGGGCTGGTTGGCTGCGCTGCTGCCTCTTGATTGGTTGATGGAGTTGATGTTGGTATAATGGGCTGTGTGATGGCTTTGTGAGTTTTGTTGTGGAGATATCCTGGATCTTGTGCTATAATCTCCTGGGTCGTTTGTTTTGTAGTGATCTTTATTCCATTAGCCTCTCGTGTTTTAACGGCTTGGGTAATGGGTTGTGTGATGGGCTTGCGAGTTATTTGTTGTGGTATCTTGGGTCCTGCGTTGTAATCTCCTGGGTCGTTTGTGTTTTGATCTCTTTTCCATTAGCCTCCTGTGTAGTACCGGTTTGGGTAATGGGTTGTATGATGACCTTGTGAGATTTATTGCTGTGGTATCTTTGGTCTTGTGCTGTGATATCCTGGGTCATTTGCTGTGTTGCAACTTCTTGAATTCTTGTGGTATAATTTCCTGAGTTTTCTGATGTGATGTCCTGAGTGGGTGGCTATGATGTAGCATTCTGGGTTTTAATCTGGCTTCGAGTTTGGGGTCTGGGTCTGTGTTCTTGGTGTGTGTCAGCTTGTTTGGTTTTGGGGTTGGGGGGGGGTGCGACAGCTGGTGAAGCAGCCGTGGTCTGTTTTCTGGATGGTGCTTGTCCTTCGTTTATAGGATGCGCTTGGGCCTGGATCTGATGAGGGGGATTGGCGGTGGTGTCCCATGTTGTTTTGGGTCTGGTGTTGGTTTTCGTGGCTGGGACTCGTTTGTTGGTGAGGGCTAGCTTCCAGATGTCTGGTAGGCGGGAGGTATCATCCCGTCTATTCATGCTATGGGGGTGTTTCTCTATCTCGATGGCTTCCCTGATTATTCTCTTGCTGGAGTGTTCAGTGTTGGATATTAATTTGGTTCCTTCGAAATTAATTTCATGTCCTGTGGCTTTAAGGTGCTGGAAGAGGGAGGAAATATTTTCTTCTGACTGCATTTTTGTGTTCTGCGATGCGTGCATTTATTCTCCTGTTGGTTTGTCCAATGTCAACTCTGTAGCCAAGACCCTCATCTCCAGGACCAAACGCCTAGCTGACAAAGACCACCTGAGAACAGAACTACACACCCTCACTAACGTATTAATTTCCAACAGATTCCAAAAAAACACTATCACCAATCTAATCCGAAAAGAGATACCCCAAAAAAACCAAGACACAGAACAAGACAACGGTATTGCACTCCTCCCCTACATCAAAGGCACCACAGACAAAATCAGCAAAATTCTCCACAAACACAATATCAGGACAGCCTTCGGCACTGACTAAAAAATAGCCAACATCCTAAGAAACCCCAAAGACAAGATCCAGCTAGAAAACCAAGGAGTTTATGAAATACCATGCAACAATTGCCCAGCCACATACATTGGACAAACCAACAGGAGAATAAGCCGAAAGCACCAGCCTGAGGATGGCGAGTGGGACCTCGCCAAAACATCACCAATATACTCTTAATCTTACACGGGAAAAGACCCGAACACACCTAGACCTACACATACATATATACATATACATATACATATACATATACACATACACACACACACACACACACACACACACACACACACACACACACACATATAGTGATTGTTTTTGTAGGAAACTGAGTTGGTTATGCATGGTGATAGTTTTAGATATGTGTTTACCTTCCAGACATTTCTTTAGTTGCATCAGATTACAGCACAAACCACAAACCTTGGACAACATCCTTTTCTGTCTCCTCAGGATATTGCCTTCATCTGATTCCGCAGCCCATACTGTTTTCCTTAATTATATCATTGTTAAACTAGTACTTTCCTCCTTATCCTGATAGATGTTTTGCCATGGATACAATTTAATGTGCTTCTGTGACACAGCCAGGGAACCTCTAGCTTGAAACCTATTGGTCATATAAGCTGTTGCGGTTATGCCAACTTTCCTATTAGACCTGTGCACTACAGAATATATCAGTATATTCTGATTTAAGAATACAAATCAGATCTCTTCCTGTATTTCCCTGGAACTGAGCATGCTTAGTGCTATTCCAGAAGAAAATATAGATCATTTTGAACATGTGCTTAGTGTTTTCATGGAATATTGCTAACTCTGTGTCCAGTAAATACCCACTCCCTTATATAACAGCTGAATAAAATCCAGAGGGATTAATCCAGTAAAGATAGCTAAATTCACTGGTCTAGCCTTCTTCAAAATACTTCTTCTCCATCCCATCCAAAGTTAAAGATAATTTTTATAGGATGTTTTCCTGCAGATGTATGAAAGTGAAAAGAAAGTGAAAAGAAACAACAAACCACCTTTGCTGTAATATGTCCTATGTATCCTAAATAGGAACAGTAGCATTTTCTGGCAGCATGCTTGTGCTGGAATCACTTATGAAGGAATCACTTATGAAGGAGACACACTATGCTGGCATTGATATTGGTGCCATCTCAGAAACTGGTACATAATACTTGGTCATCAGAAAAAACTCATAAACCTCTGGTCATGGTTCTAGACCATGAAACTGAGCACTAGAATTCTGGGAATGAATCAGCGGATTTAAATTAAATATCTCTTTCTTTCTCTATTGCTCTCAACTCTCCTGGTATGTGCTCAAGCTTTGATGAAGAAAGCCAGTTTGTCCAAAGCTCCATAGAACCACTTCCTCATTGGAGTGATGGCAGCATAGATGGCAGCAAATTGGAGAGCCCGTGTTCTGAGGAAGATGACCATCAACCAACAGGACTGCTACAGGCTGGTTCCACAGCATCAAGTCACCCCATCAACAATTAGCAAGAATAAAAAAGCTTATTCAGGGATGTGATTTGGAGTTCAACATAAAAGTTTGCCACTTGGTTGAAAATTATTTGGATTATTAGAACTCCAGGTGCAAGTGTTTGGCTTATTCCTAGTGGCTTGGGTGTAAACAAGCCCAGGCCAGTGAAATGTTTGAACAATTAGAATTGAAGCTTATGAACACAGTTTTCCAGTATGCTTTTTTCTGTTCTTCCATCTTAATCCACCCTCAAGTCTTCCTCAATTTTTTGTATATTTTGACAAATTATCCTGTATAGGAAAGTGTTCTGGCTTGTTGACTATGTTCTCTTCCATCATCCTCCATATCTATAACTGATAATGCTTGTTACAAAACCCCAGCTGCCTTTTGAAGGTGTATCAAAATTATTTGCCTGTAGTACAACTTCTTTTTAAGATGGTGCCAGAGAGCCAACCTGCTTGCCATGAATGCCAAATCCACCTCTGGATTCCTTGGAAGATATACACAGCTGGGACAAATGGCCAGACTCCCTCCTCAATTCATTATTGCCAGAGCTGTTAAGAGGAGCATGTTATAAATATACAAGGGAAATGAGGAATGATAGTCTGTATTCTTCTTAGTTGTTGGGAAGAGTTATTCCTGCTGTATTTCATTGCTTTTCATTGCTTTGACACAGCACACAATTTGACAAGGAGACTGCAATTCTTATATATTAAATAACAATTGTAGTCTGTTTCTAAGTCCTCTTATCAGTATCACTGTTATAGCAAAAGCAAAAGGGTAATTCTATAAGTCTAGATATTTCAGTTTGCAGATATCTTGTTTGACTTATTTGATCTTTCAGCAAAATAATAATAGAATTGAAATCAACGGGCTCTGAAGAGCCTGGAAGAGCCTGCTTGAGATGTTTCAGTCCCTTCTTTTTTCTTCCCTTCCCCCTCCATTTCCACACACTAGACAAAAGAAGCTAAGTATCAGACCTATGTTGTCTCTCTCCCAGTTTTTTTGCTTTAAACTGGGCAGAGAAACACAAATAAGGCCATTTTTATCACAAGTAAATATTTATCCTTTGGGTGATGGCTTTTTTTGTTTACCTAAAGTACTCAATGTTTTTCTTCTTTGTGTTCTCTTGTGATAACAATCTCAACAAATGTATATGAAACCAGAACAATTATTACTTAAAAAGAACTACTGGTAGTACATTGCCTATTCCTCTCTTCCCACTCTATCTTGTGCATGTTACTTTTAATTTGAATTTTACTTTTATTATAGAACACATAAAGGAACAAAAATACTCAAAGCTATAGAGAAAACTAAATAAAACAAATAAATAAAACAAAATGGTAAAAAATGGCCTGTTTTCATGCATGTGTGAACTATACATATACTTGTTGGAAGTTATGATTCCCCTGTCTTCTAGGAAAACATTAGAAGGGGAAGGAAAATTCCCCTAAAAGAAAGGAGAGGTGAAAACATTAGCCCCCACCTTTTCATGGGACTCACATTAGCTAGGATCCTTTCCCATAGAAATCAAATAGATAGCAAGCTACAAAAAAACTTGTGAAAAGCAAACAGCATAATAGGAAACTCAGGATATTGCAACCAGGTGCAAATTGATAGCTACAAAGGATCAGGGAAAAACAGATTGGACTATGAAACAATTACTCCTACCAAGATCCCAGGAAGAGATCCCAATCTCAAAGAGACAGGAATTCAACACACACAAATCAAAGATTTCACTTACAAATCAAAGAACCTGAAGTGTATAAGAGAGAGGTTTTCCTACTCACTTATTAGATTAATCCTAGGAATGCCATAAGATTTCTTCTTATCTGCCTTCCTATTAATAAACTGATTCTGACTTTCATTGCAGCTGACCAAATCATTTTGCATTAAAACCTCTCAGCCGGGAAATTTGAATCCACAAAAGGAAAGAACTTTGCCTTTTTCCTTAAAGGGCAAGGCTTCTTTTTTCCTTTCCTCAGTTGGCGACTCTGATAGTCTCCCGGCCAACCTAGCCACCGGACGGGGTCCAGAGATAGAAACCCAACCGGCACAGACCTTCTTTGTCCAGGGAGAACATCCACGGACCCTGCCCGGGAGGCATTGGGTAGTAAAGGGAATCCTTGAGACTTGAACTCAACAGCTGCTTGAAAGCAGGTGAGTACCGCTTTAAATTTACAATCCTAGAACTGTGGGGAGTGGAAGGGAGAGTGAAATGCTATGTGTGTATGCCGTGTGGGCTTTGCCTGTGGAAAACAGCTGGATCCCACCTCCTCCGTTGACCTCTAGCTGCACCCCAACCTGCTGCTAGTCCGAAAAGAGCAGTGACCGGCAGGATTGGGAAAGCAAGGGGTGGGTCACGGAGTGTGAGACCTTCTGATGGACGCAAGGATAAGCTGAGTGGGATATGAAGTGAGAAGTGGCTAATAAAAGAAAAGAAATAACTAGGGGAACTCCAGTGTCTCCCAGAGCAAACCCAGGGATTTCTACATACTTCTGAAATTAGTTAGTTAGATAGTTAGGAAGTTGTTAAGTTACGAAGTTGTAGGAGGGGCCCGTACTCGTCTATGTTGGAGGCAACAGGTCCTCCCAGATCCCCATTTTTTAGAAGGGTCTAAAAACTGGTGGCGGAGAATTCCCTAAGGAAAGAGGTGTGTCTATACTCTGTAAGGGAACCAGAGTCCTCTTCAGACCTTTTTTTCTGAAAACTGACATGTAGCCCGGCTGCAAACAAAGTGTCACACCCCACATCAGAAGGGGAAACATGGGAAGTTGCAACTCGAGGATGGTAGATACCCCTTTAGAAAATTTGCTTGAGGCATGGGACGAAAAGCAGGTGCCAGGCCTGGCCGGAGGAAAGCAAAGAAGATATGTAGAAAATGGACTTTGCTAAGGGATGACACTGGGAAGCAGATTTGGCCTGACAGCGGTACTTTTGATTTTAAAATTTTAAAAGCGCTTAGACCCCGAATCAAGCCCAGCCAAATACCCTACTGGTATTGCTGGGCTGAACTAGCCAGAACCAAAGACCTAACTATAGGGAAAGATCAAGCTAAGGAAGAAGCCCATTTCTTGGAAGGAAAAACTGAGACAAAAATAATAGCTTCCCTACTGAACAAACCAGTAACAGGAGGAGGAAGGGGCAGATATAACTACATTCGGACACATACTCCCTTCTCTGCCTCAGATCTTGTTATTTGGAAGAAAGACACACCAACATTCAGGACAGACCCTCAAGCTGTAATTCAAACCCTGAAATCATTAACACACAACCCATCCTGGGAAGACATGAATCAGTTACTGCATATTTTCCTAACTCAGGATGAACTACTGAAACTATTTGAGAAAACAACACAAATAACCAACCAACCTATTAAAGGGCAAAAGCTAACCTAATGGAAGCCCTAGAGGAAATAGGAAAAAAAGCCCCTCAACTGGTCAGAATTTCAAAAGACAACCCAAAGGAAAAAGGAAAATACTTTTGGGTTTGTCTCTCAGAGGCAGCTGTGACATATGCCCACCTAGATCCAAGCTGCCAAAAGGACTAGAGAATTTTAGCCTCAGCCTTTGTGGACCAGGCTACTAGTGATATCAGGGATCACTTCCATCGTATTGTATCTAAGTGGCTAACCTTGGAAATAGCAGAGTTGCGCAGGATCGCAAACTTTGTCTATGACCAAAGGGATAAGTTAAAAGAGGAAGAAAAAGATAGGAAAAGGAAGATAGAGAGACATGAAGAGCTAAGAGTTTTGCTGCCATGCACTATAATGCCAGGCTAGTACAGCGAAGGACCACTGGTATCAGGCAGAGATGCTGGCAATGTAGGCAGGAAGGTTGGCCCCAAGATAGGTGCCAACATTGCTATAAATGTGGTAAAACGGCATTTTGGCCAATACTGTAAACAAACTTGGTTTCGCAGTCAGCCTCAAGATTGGCCCAGAGGCTCCATGCCAAGCAATAATCCATATCGTATGGGTGAGCAGAAATATAACCAACCTTGCGAGACACCTACAGTCCTTTTCTACATAACGGAGATAATGATAGATCTCAATGGGGCCAGGGAAGGGATGAGAAGTTTTCCTGACTAGAAAATGAAAATGAACCCAATGAATACACCGCTACCTTCACTGGGCTAGCAATTCCCTTAAGGAATGGCCCTAAAGGGGAATTCTTCCCATCTCCTTGAAAATTGAAATATCCTAGGAAATATTGGGGGAAAAAGGCAGAATATTTCTCCTAAAAAGAGTATAAACTCAAGAGCAGAAACTCACCTCAGAAAATAGAAGCTTACCCCCACCTTTGTTAATGGGTGGACCATTAAGGCCTGGGCCAGAATACTTTACATAACAAAGATTTCCAGGTAAAACTATAGCAATTGCCAAAAGTCCTTTTCATTACAACATCATCCAGCAAGGCTTAACCAAACCTGGAACTCAGGACAACCAACAGAGTTGTCCCTGCATGGCTCCATTGGATTCTGACAACCAATCAGAATACAAGCTTCAATTCAAATCCCAACAAACGTTATACAACCCAGGCACTCTCAGCATATCAGCCTGTCTTGATCTCTTCCTTCACTTTGAAGCATGTGATCATCCTTCCTTTTCACTCTGGAGCCCCAGGCCATGTGGTCCTGTCCACCATAGTGTCCATGTTTCCAGTGTCTTTTTCCCACTTGGAACTGACCGCAGAAGGATATTTCTTCCAACAATTTGGTAAGCGGCAGATGCCGACCCTAGCTGGGATGAAAGAAAAAAAAAGGCAAAAAGCAAAATGTGTATGTAGAGAATGGGCTTAGCTGAGGGATACAGGAAGACCAATTTGGCTAAATAAAGGTACTTAAAAAGAGCAATATATATAAAACAGGATCACATGGGATTTTATTTTTAATTCTTTCTTTCTGTGTCTCTTTCTCTGTCTTGGTTTGTTCCTTAAGATTCGTGCCTTCCCCAATTTAACTGAGATTTATTGTGGGAATGATCGGTGTGTGTGTAAACCTCAGAGTTTTGTTTTCCTCTATGGGTCCTTGTTTGTGTGTGTGTGTGTGTGTGTGTGTAAGTCTTTGTGTGTCCTCGAGGTAACTGTTGCAACTGTTAAAGTGTCTCTGGTCCCTTCAGATATTAATTCAACTAGACTGGATGAGGAAGAGAGTTCAATTTTCTTTCCTCTCTGCTTTTAAGAAAACCCAAGGTGATTAATGAATGTTTTAAGTTCGTTTACAAGGAAAGTTTCATCCTTGCATTTACTGTGTGTTTAAATAACTTTACCTGATCTTTTTTTTTTCTGAAGCATGAGAAGCCAGATTTTTTCCCTTTCTCATCTGTTGTTGCCCCCATTTCGTTGAAATCGACTTATCTGTTTAGGTGTATTATTTTTCTTCCTACTCAAGCCCTGTCTGCAAGCTATCTACCCCCCCCCCCCCGAAAAATCTCTAATCCTTTTTACAATGCCTTTCTTGGTAGACTTACCAGCAAAGAGGGGAGGGGACCCTTGTTCTCTGTCTTTCAGCCCTGCCACATGTGGAACCAGATGCAATGCTACTCCCTAGAGACATTCCATCCATTGGAGCCAGGAATTGGGTTTGGATCCAGCCTCCCCTGAAAGTCATTACAGCAAACCAGAGTGGGGCAGACCTTCCCAAGCCTGACTGACCACCCATACCACCAGGCCAAGCCTATGCCACCCAGAGACATGAAGGAAAGGACCCTGAGATGGACCAGTAAAAGACTAAAAGACTCTTTTCAATCCCCAGAAGACAGCTAAAAAGATTATGGGGGGCAGGGTGGAAATTCATTGTAATTGGAAATTCATTGTAATGCGAAATTCACTGTAATGTTTTCTTTCTTGTATCATTTATATTGTAACCAGTTTGATGTATTCATGTAAGGATTGTATTTGAGTGGCTGGCCCAGCAAGTTCTGCACGCTTTGGACTTCTGCCTGGTGGGAGGGAAAATTGTCCAGCATGTTTGTATTATCCGTATTGTAAAACTAGCTGCACACACAGGCACGTACACAGAGACACACCATTCAGAATTAGATAGGTTATCCCTTTCTCCTGCACCCACACAAAGCTGCTCCTAGCTTCACTTTTAATGTGTTTTTTGTTTTGTTTTGTTTTTTTGTTTTGCTGCTCTGTGGCACTAAGGCCCAAGCAAGACTCCCTGCTAATTCCATGGGGGTGGGGGCATCCCCCTCAGGCAATTCCTAAAGAGTTAGCAGAAAAGAGATCTCCAAATCCCAAGCCCTGACTGTGACTCACAAATGATGCTGCCCAGTTGCCCAGTAAAGCAGAACAGGTTGCCCTGGTGGTCTCATGAGTAGAGTTCCCAGGGCTCATCATGTGTAATTTTAAAATAAATACTAAATAGCCTGGATTG